TCTACCAACTATTCCCATCCAACCTGATTGAGCTTGAGTAGAATTTGCAAAGAAGAATGGCACGAAAATCCCCCAATCCAAGTGTGCAAAGCTTGCTGTGTTATACCCAAAAGACTTGAGGCTGCAATTGCTGCCAAAGGTGCTTCAACACAGTACTGAATAAAAAGGGTTTTAAATACTTAAGTACATGTGATATTTCAGTATTTTCTTTTTATAAAATTCAGCCATTTCTAAAATTCTATGTTTTCACTTTTGTCATTATGGGGTACTGAGTGTAAACTAATGAGAAAAACAAAAATTCATTTAACCATTAGCCGCCCGGCCAATGGCCGTTTGGCGGCTTCAGATGTGCTCCTCCATTCCGGGGTGCACGCCATTTGGCGTGCTCCCACACATGCGCTGTTTGCGCTAGTGCAGAGCGGCGCAGCAGTGCGATCTGACGTCGGCCGTGCACCTCGGACACAGCCGATGACAGATCCGAGTACCGGCTCCCGTTGCTGGTACCATGTGACCTGCTGTGACCAATTACAGCAGGTCACATGACAGTTGTATACATGGATGGCTTCATTCATGATGCCATCCATTGTATACTAGTGCCTAGCTGTGAATGGTCACAGCTAATCACATGCACATGTCATGTGATTAGCTGTGACCAAATCACAGCTAAGCACAAAAAAAAAAAAAAAAAAAAAAAAAAAAAGCTGAATGAATCGATTTCATTCAGGTAAATGCTTGCTTATAGCAAAGTAATTCTTTGCTATAAGCAAATTGTGTAAAAAAAATACTGATCACTTCCCCAAAGTAGTACAATGTTACTATGGTAACATTGTACTATTTTGGTCATAGTAAAATATGAAAAAAAATCTTAAAAAAAATAAAAAAAAATGTAATAAAAAATTAAATATAATAAAAAAATAAAAAAAAAAATTTAAAAAAAATATATATTTTTTTTTCATACTGTCACCAGTCAGTGTCCCTGTTCACCGCCATGCCAGTTATATGATGACGCTGTACTGCACTGGTGACAGTATGTAAAAAAAAAAAAAAATAGTGAAAATAATTTTTTTCATTTTTTGGAAAAATTATGACAAAAAAATACAACTTCAAAAAACTCGCCATGCCTCTTATGAAGTACGTCGGACTGTCTACTCTGCAAAAAGGGGTCATTTGGGGGATATCTGTACTGTTCTGACATTCTTGGACCTCAAGAAATTAGATTGGCCGTCAGTACTTCAGGATTGATCAATAATCAGATCTATACCATAGTTTGTGAACTCTATAACTTTTCTACAAACTAAATAATACATCCTAATTTGGGTTATTTTCACCAAAGACATGTAGTAGAATACATCTTGGCCTAAATTTATGAAGAACAATTATTTATTTGTAAACTTTAACAGAAACAAAGAAAAATGTTTTTTTTTTCAAAATTTTTGGTCTTTTTTTGTTAATTTAGCAAAAAATAAAAACACCAGCGGTGATTAAATACCACCAAAAGAAAGCTCTAGTTGTGTGAAGAAAATGATAAAATTTTAGTTTGGGTACAATGTTGTATGACCGCGCAATTGTCATTCAAAGTGTGAGAGCGCTGAAACCTGAAAAATGGCCTGGGCAGGAAGGTGTAAAATTGCACGGTATTGAAATGGTTAAAACAACTGTAGTATCAGGCAGCAGATTAACAGTGAAGAAAGTTTCTGATGATGCCTTGCTATATTTGGATGGCTCTGCCGAGTTGTTCTCTGGTCTGATGTGCGTGGTGGAGGACTTTGGAGCGGCATCAGGTCTTCGGGTTGGTTGGGACAAATCGTTGGAGTTTCCTATTGGCCCCACGGTTCCTTATGACTTATGGTCTACCTCTACCTTGCAAATTTTGACTCAAATTCGCTATTTAGGTATTCAAATTCACTCTAACCTATTTTGGAATCGCTAAATGTGATGCCCCTTGTTACGCACCTGGAGACTAGACTTCGTACTTGGGTTACACTACCCCTTAATTTGATTGGAAGGACTAATATTTTCAAAATGATATATTTACCCAAATTTTGTGTTTAGGGCCTCGCCAAGCTATTTCAAAAACTTGATTGTTTTGTTCTCTTTTCTTTGGGGTGGGTTTCAACCACGAGTGGCCAGGGCCTCACTTCAGGCATCTGAGGTGGATGGGGGTTTGGCTTGTCCTAACCTTTGTAATTACTTTATTGCTTCCCAGCTGGCTTATGTGTATGATTGGTTCCGTGGTTCCTCGGCTACTTCCTCCACCGTTTTTCTATCTGCCCAGTTTGGCTTGAACTTTCCACTTTGCCCTTTGAGGGGCTAATGCTGGGCCCTGATGTGGTGAAGCTGGTTACTACTTTTTATGCCCATCTTCAGGCGGCCGAGATGAAACCTTTTCAGGTTGCTCTTCGTAAGTGGGAGGCAGTTCTCCCTGGATTGCCTGGGGAGGAGGCGGTGGAGGTCTGTTTTCAAGAACTTATTAGTACTGCTGATACATTTATTAAATTCAAATTCATAAATTATCTTCATTATACTCCGGCTCGGTGTCCTTGTGTCCCCGTTGTGGTCTTGGGGGGTGCAGAATTGATGCACATGTTTGGGCCTGTCCAGCCCTTGTCTCATTCTGGTAGGATCGTTTTGCTTTCTTTGATGAACTGTTGCATTTGCCAGTGTCAGAATACCCAGCAGGCTAACCTCTAGGGTACATGAATGATTTTGTCCCGCACGCTCAGTCTAGGATATTGCTACGTCTGCTCCTATTTTACTTATTTTGTTAAACTGGAAAGGTGATACTCCACCTTCTATACATCGTTTTTATGGCATGGACCATCTAGTGCTGCCTCAATATAAGCTGATCTATAATGGACAGACCTCCCTAAAAACTTCACAAAAATCTGTCAGCCTTGGCTGAATGTGGCAGACTCTTTCTGGGTGGATACTATCTTATCACAACCACTGTCGCAGGGTTCTATGGTTTGAGTGGTGGAATTTAAGTGTTCGTAATCTCTTCTGGTGCGTATGGGGAATTGATGGCGTGCTGACTGGGTGTTTGACTGTTTTTGATTGTTAATCTGTTATGCTGCTGTTTTTTGTTTTGTAATTGTTACTGTTCTCTGTAAAGAGCTCATGGCCTAGCAATAATTTGTTGGTTGTGTCTGATCCCTTTCTGTGTACCCTTGCTCTTAAGTTTTAGGTTGCTGTTATTATTTATCATTTGACTCTCTTTTTTTCCTGTTCTTGTTCGTGTTTTATAAATGCAAAATAAACTTTAAAAAAAAAAAAAAAAAAAAGAAAAGAAAGTAGAGGGGGGATTTGAATACGCTATGAATGCACGGTTAGCTTTCTAAACTAAAAGTGTTTGAGTTAGTATTAAATTCTCAGTGCTGCTGGCTCCTGCTCTCTCAGTGCTGCTTCCCTGAACTTCCAGCCTTCACAGGAAACCATTAGCAGTGGATAGTGTAATCTTGAACCAGTTTGTAGCTTGGGGATGGGAGGCAGAAACAGGAGAGTACCTTGCCATCCTAGGCTATGGGGTTATGTGTTTCTTGTAATACACACAGTCTAGGGAGACACAACTTTAGTCCTTGCATGCAAACGTGGCTCCAGCGAATACTGCAAGAGAAAGGAGATCCTGAAACTGGAAACCTGGGATGTTATGTTTATTTGAAAAAAAAAAAAACACAAAACATGGTCATACTTACCTGCTCTGTACCTCCTCTTCTGGGGTCCCCCAATGGTGATCCTGGCTCCTCCTCTATGGCAAGTGGCTTGATATGAGTGCATTCGTCCAAGCTCAATCTGGAGCAGTGCTGTCTGCATCCATAGGCGCAACAAGAGTCAGTGCCTGAATGCCTTTAAAACCACTTTAAAATATAAAGAAACTGCATACTCCATAAGTGATTAAATTAGCTGCTGAAGGCACCTAAAAACAGAAGGTTTAAAAACACTAACTATTCTATCTATATATACACACACACACACACACACACACACACACACACACACACACAGTTTCTACATCCTGGCAGCAGAATGCTGGAAGTAAACCAATGTTGGCTACAAGATGCTTCTAATGAATTAAAAGCAATTTACAAAAAAAAAAAGCCATAAGGTTTATTTAAATAAAAAGTCAAGTAAATAGCTGATGGCCAATACAAAATCAGATGACAGTTTTAACATTTGTATAGAAAAACGTTTTGCAGCCAGCGAGTCAATCAAAAGCAATAACCCTTCAAAATTAGGGGAAAATATATATATATATATATTTATAGCAGTTTTGCCAAAATATTAGTCTATGTCTGTTCTGCTGGTCATTTTACTCTGCAGAATAGCAGTTCTAGCCCATGTCCAGCTTGGATGAGCCAACAAACAACTGAGGTAGGCTGGAAAATGAAATACACCAATATACAAAATGTACAAATAGGACTTTAACATAGTAAAGTACAAACAGGACACACATTCCGTTATGTCTCAGTAAATCCCACTGTTCTTCAGATATTCAAAAATTAGAAACCAAGATACCATTTGCAATGTTGTATTTAAGTATATATCGGTATAAAAACAATAGCGAACAACTTTGATTATAGAAAATGTGTTTTGTTTCAACGTACAAAAGTAAATTCTGAGTGAATGAACACATCGTGCGGAAAATACTATCCTCAGTACTAGTATACAGAATCTAAATGGCAAATAATGCCTGTGCAGATAATGAAAACCCTGTACAGGCATTCATCTGAAAAGTTTTTGTCTACTTTCAGATATTTTCAACCACAGAATATAAAGTTTTAAACCAATTTCCATTTCAATAGATATAGCTGTAGAATAATCTTTAGATATTTAAAAAACCACATCAATTGGCAATTCATTTAAGAGACAGCTGTCATAAATAACAGTGCTATATTTTTCTGTAAACGTGAAAAAATATATTTATATTTGTTGGTCCATGTTTAGCTTCAGGAAGAGGAGAAATCCTCAACAAAGTAACTGGCAAAACAATGTTACAGGAGCTGTCAAAGAAGTTTCTGGTGAAGAATTTCCCAAACCATTCGTTTCCTAAAATATGGCATGTGATGCTGGAACAAAAACATAAAAAGAACAAAATTAAATTCCTGTAAAAAGGTTTAGTACACAAGCACAAAATAAAAGGACAGCACACGTGTTAAAACATGCTCAAAATGTTTTTGGTAGCAGAGCCAGGAGACAAATTTTCCTTGGTAATTTTATTATTTTTGTTGACTTATGAGGGGTTTATGTATAATCTTCATCAGCAACTGTAAATTGTAACTTTTCTAACTATATGTTAGAAAAGTTACAAAGCTGGAAATATCAGAGCTTGGTTTGATAGCGGTGTGTTTGTTGTACATAGACATTGAAACAAGTGATCAAGTTTTAGAGATAGCTTTGTATTGTATTGGAGGAATGTTTGGTGTGTAAACATGTGCATGCCACAAGAAATGTTCTATTATGTGAGAGGGGGCAACCACTAAATTAACTACCTTATCTCAGACTTTATGGGGCCCACATAACGATCTAGACCAGGCCATTTAAATCTCTTTGTTTGTATGAGGGCCACTTCAAAGTACCCTCTCTTTAGATATGAAATGGTGATGGCTATCTGGGGAATGTAGTTTTACCAGGCTATGACCTAAGGTTCCCTCCAAACGCTCAATAATGGAGGGAATTTTGATGAGAAAGCCTGAATCCAGCCGCCTCGGTGCCATGACCTGGCATATGTAATTTTATCACTAAAAGGGGAGGCTCTGGGATGGGGCTGAGTTATGTAAGCGATATGGGATGGGGAAAATGTCCAAACCTGGATGAGATGCGTCAGATATGGAAGATGGATTGGATAGTTCTACCAATCAAGATGGCCCCATGCAAGTCTATGGGAGATAAGTGTATATCAGGGTAGGTTTTGGAAGAAGACAAGAGAGAAGATCCACCGATCCTGGGGGCCCCCATGCTACACCATTGGTAAACATCAGGACATTTCTCTGGCACTTATATGTATACATGATTGTCGTATGTGTTGTCTGTCTTGCTGTTTGTGGGTTTAGGATTGGGTGAATCATATACATTTTATTTCTCTTTTTCTTATTGTTAAATAGATAGATTGTGGTATGTTAGTTTAGACCTCCCTACTATTCACCAATAAATTTTGGTTGTTGTGTTAAACCTTTCACTCTTGGTCAAAGAACTCTCATTAAGGTTAATCAAATCATATCAGAGAAATATGATATTTCATATTCCATAGATTTGGTCAACAATTTTAAAGATCATTTAAGTAGAACTAAACCTCTATGCCATGATGTGCCGATGAAGGGAGCCAAGTGGAAGTAGTCAACCGCAGATGATGTCCATTTTAAAAAATGGTGGTGTGGGAAGAGGAACACAGGCAAGATAGACCAGTAGCAGTGTGCAAGACCATTAAAGAAGAAGCAGCAATTATTATTATTATACAGTATTTATAAAGTGCCAATAGTTCACTCAGCGCTGTACATTACAAAGGGGACAGAACATGTGACAGATCAATACCAATACAATGCAAAACATGAGGGGATCGAGGGCCCTGCTCTTTCGAGCTTACAATCTAGGACGGAGGGGATAGTGGTACAGGAGGAGATAGCTGTGGGGGATGGAATGGTAGGAAGAGTGGAGGAGATCGGCAAGTTAGCAGGGGGTGGGTAGGCTTCCCTGAAGAGATGTATTTTTAGGGTGCGCCTAAAGGAGAGGAGAGTAGGCGATAATCTGATGGGTTGGGGCAGGGAGTTCCAGAGGATAGGTGACACCATGGAGAAGTCCTGGAGGCGGGCATGGGAGGAGGAGACCAGGGAACTAGAGAGAAGGAGGTCTTGTGAGGAGCGGAGTGTGCGTGCTGGGCGGTAATTGGATATTAGGTCAGTGATGTAGTTCGGGGCAGTATGGTGGACAGCTTTGTACGTCAGTGTTAGGATTTTGAATTCGATCCGTTGCGCAATCGGAAGTGGAGGGATTGGCAGAGGGGGGTGGCGGAAACGGAGCGGTTGGAAAGGTGAATGAGTCTGGCAGCCGTATTCAGGATCGACTGAAGCGGGGATAGCCAGCGGCGAGGCAGGCCAGTGATAACTAAACTTAACATAATTGATAAGGTTGAGTAAAGATACCAGTCCAACTTCAGTGCGTTCATAAAGTCTTCAAACCCCCTTCACTTTTTTTCAATTTTGTTATGTTGCAACCTGATACTACAGTTGTTTAACCCCTTGATGCTGACGTTACACAAATATGCAGCCTCACAGAACTGGGCTTTGTCCTGTGGGGCCACATATTTGCTCGCTCCCAGCACAAAAGACCAGGGTGTCACTGAGAGCCCCAGGTCACGTTCTATCGGGACCCAGAACTGCTGATTTCGGGTCATATGATCAAAGTGATGGATCACTGTGATAGGTAATCAGAGGCTATCACAGCAAAGTTTAATTTTTCTTTATTTAAAACAAAAGAAAAAAAAGAAAAAATACCTAGATCAAGGTTTGATCTAGATCAGTGCCAGGGTAAATGTTTGGGTCAAGGTCAGGATTTTATTTTTTTAATTGGTATCAGTGTGTTTTAGGTAAAAAAAACAAAAAACAAAAACGTGTACTATTGTTTCTGGGCTGTAGTACAGCTTTGCATGCAGTAGGACGTGTGCTCTGTGAGCTCTGCATCCTGTTCGTTATCTTGATTGGCACCTCGTTCTCCGGCTATAACGGCATCTCGGGTCCCCAGGGTGTGCTCCGACAACCATGCTGTCACTTGGTGCCCCGATTATCCTGATCCGAGATAACTAAAATGGGGAAAGAAATTCAGGCCTTGCCAGAGTAGGGTGGGCAAGATGGCGGTACTCTCCGATCCATGCATCCAAGGAGAAGCAGAGGAAAGCTGCTCAAAAGTTCTTTACCAGGCCGCTCACCAGGGAAACTTCCCAGAAACAACTTCTGGACTCCGCTACTGATCCGACTTAGACTGTACAGGCTGTACACAGATCTCTCTTGCACTGGCAGACCGAGAGATCCCATCTTGCAGTCCCCGCAGGGAGTATCCCTCTATCCCAGTCTCATGGGACACAGCCTGCTGTTTCCATTGCAGATCATCCTGAACCCACCCTTAGAGACACAGTGGGTATCCCGAAGCACACTGCGGGCAAAAATCCTGTAGTCTTTATTGAAGCTTGACTGACCTCTACCTTTGGCAGTGATGCATTCTCCCCCATGTTTGTAGTAGAACGTGCAGAGTCCCAGCACGTGCTCCTCCGGTCAGCACTCCCCCTCGACCCTTTTTGTTCAGACTCCTCAATTACCGGGATAGAGATACCATTCTCTCCAGGGCCAGAAGCCAGGGTAACTTGTCAGTTGACAATGTTCAAGTATCCTGATTTTTCTGTGGAAGTTCAATAGCAATGCGCAATGTCAAGAAACATCTTCGGGCATTGAGCCTTCAATATGCCATGCTATATCCGGCTAAACTTTGCGTACTTGCGGAAGATGCTTCTCACTTTTTTGATCATCCTAATGCAGCCTTACAGTGGTTGGATGGAGTTGAACATCACCTAGCAAACTCCCCTGGAACCTGACCTAGGCACCCTGGTTGATCCTTAGTGCCTTAAACTCAGCTTACCAGAACAGCGAGCTATTGCTCTCATTTCCTTCCCGTTTTGTATATGATTTTTTTTTTTCCCACTTAAGTTGGGGCTCCTACCCTCTTGGGCTTTCCTTACAATTAGCTGCGGTGTGCTTGTCCACGAGACATTGTGCAAACCTCAACCTGTTTTTGGTCTCGAGGGGAACTTTTGGCCTCCTGACAGTTTCTTCAGTTATTATTATGGCTCTGTTGGCCTACATGTCGGTAATAGTTTTTCAGTATTCTCCCTTGTTTTGTTTATGGTTCACCTGGGATGTCTGTCTGTGTTTAGTGGAGTGCATGTTGTTGAGTTCATCTTCCCTGCTTCCTGCGGTTGTCCTCCTGGTTTCCCTGACCCATGTGATCTAGGTCCCTCCTACTGCCTACCAGCTCACTGCACCCTTTGGGGGGTGCTATATCTGTCCACGATTGAGTTATACTTCTCATTTTATCCATATGTATAATGTCTGTCTCCCATAAAGAATTGACGTTTTTATCCTGGAATGTAAGGGGCCTGGGAGATCAAACTAAAAGGGGGTGCTGTCTTCCATGTACTTAAACATTTAAAACCGTCTGTAGTATGTTTGCAGGAAACCCATTTAAAATCTGACACGATCGGTACCCTCCACTCTCGTTTATTTCCCCATACAATATCATTCCTTCCACTCCACGTTTTCAAGAGGTGTGTGTATCCTCATTTCTAACTATTCAATTTGTTCATGTGCAGGAGTGTATTGATGTGGAGGGCAGGTATATTTTCCTACTGTATACTTTGAATGGGTTTCGCTGCATAGTGGCTGAAGAGTAGGGCGGAGGGATATATACAGCAGAGGTCATTAAAAGCCTAGCTCAACTTATGGCCAATCATCCTGATGTGCCCCTATTGGCACTGGGTGATTATAACAATTGCTTATTCCCTAGCTTGAATAAAATGACCTTGGGCGGTAGGGGCAGACAATTATCCTCTCAGACTACCCCATTTGCTAATTTATTGGTGGAACTGGGCCTCCAGGATGTGTGGTGGATGAAGTATCCGACAGCAAAATGTTATTCATGTTTTTCTGCTACTTATGGTTGACTTTCACGCATAGATATGGGCCTTGGGAACACGACTATCCTGCCATATGTGTTTGTTGCTGCATATGAACCCAGGGCTCTGTCTGACCATGCCCCTTTCTGGGTCAAGCTACAGGTGTGTTATACCCGCTCTTCTCCACTGTGGAAGGTGAACCCATTTTGGTTGACACGGTTTCCAGAGTCAGAGTTGATTCTGAGAGAGTTGTCAGTCAGACTTCCTGCAGCGGAATGAAGGCTTGTTCCCACTGGGAATGGTTTGGGATGCGATGAAGGCCTTCCTACGGAGCTTGATTATCTGGGAGATTTCAGCAGTTAAGTGGAGATCCAGGGAATGGGAGGAAAAGGTACGTTAGATGTTCAACAGAGCAAGATTCAGATGATCCAAGCCCCTGTAATTGCACCTCCTGGAAAGAGGCCCAAGCCCTTTATGAATCTGTGCTTACTCAAGTGGCAGATAAGAGATATTTTTTGCAACAAAAATATTTTGAGGAGCAGGAAAGTACAGGGCACCTTCTTGCTCCTGTGGAGAGGTCACAATAAAGGGTGTCCACTGTAGACCAGATTGAGGATGCTGATGGCATGATCTGCACAAGTCATGTGGAAATCCTTAGAGTTTTTCATCACTTTTACAACGATCTGTATGCTTCTAAAACTACAGCCAGCCATTCTGAGCTTTTGCAGTTTCTAGACACACGCTTTTTTCCTGTTTTATCGGAGACTGACCAGAGAGAACTGGAGATGCCAATTACTGTTGAGCAGTTCTCTGAAGCTTTGGCAGGCACCCCCAGTAATAAGTCTTTGGGTTCTGACGGATTGCCATTCAAAAACTATAATAGATACGGTGTGCAACTCCTCCCGGCATTACTCCATGCCCTGAATGCTGCCATGGATGGAAATGATTTGCCCATGTCCATGAATGAAGCTGTTATTATAGCATTACTGAAGCCTGGAAAAGATCAATTAAAACCTGACTCCTACCGACCTATTTCTATTCTGAATACGGATGCTAAATTGTTGGCCCGGGTTCTAGCTCCTAGACTGGCACGGATTATTGGTAATATCGTACATAAAGATCAGTTGAGGTTTATTCCTTCTAGAGCGATTGCAAATTCAAAGAGAGTCTACGAATATTATTAGCCAATGCCGGTGACCAATACTGGGGGGAGGGCAATTTTGTCTTTGGATGCGGCCAAGGCATTTGATAGTGTGGAATGGCCTTATCTATGGGAAGTATTGTCTAGATTCGGCTTTGGTCCCAAGTTCATGAGCTGGGTGCGCCTTCTCTATGCGGCCCCTAGTGCTCGAGTCCAGGTTAACGGGGATTTGTCAGATTCCTTCAGGCTGCAGAAGGGAACGAGGCAGGGCTATCCTCTCTCACCTTTTGTTCGCTTTGGCCTTAGAACCTTTAGCAATTTTGGTGAGACAATCTCCGACATCGTCGGTTTTACAAGGGGTGTTCTTTTGGAAGACATCCCTTTTGCGGATGATACACTGTTATATTTGGGCGATACTTGCACATCCTTAGATGCTGTTCTGTCCCTTATTGAACGCTTTGGTGGATTTCCCAGCTTTAAAATTAATTGGCATAAATCAGTGTTTATGCCCGTGGATCCTGTAGAACTCCCCCTCCCAGCCTGTGTACAACACATCCAAGTAGTGTCTACATTTAAGTATTTAGGGGTGGTAGTCTCTCCTGATCCTAAGCAGTATATTTCTCTTAATTTTTTACCTCTACTCTATCAGCAGAAATTGAAGTGCAACAGTTGGTGCAACTCCCTCGGTCGGTGGTGGGTAGGGTCAATTTAATTAAAATGATTTGGGCCCCGCAACTTTATATTTTTCATAATTCTCCCATATGGATTCCTAAAATTATTTAATCGCATAGAGACCCAGTTTAAGAGTCTTATTTGCAAAAAAACAATTGTTCACATTGCAATATGGACAGGAGTTGTGGGGGGTTGGCGGTTCCTGAGCCCAGACTATATTTTCTGGCGGCCCAATGACAGCAACTGGTTGGCTGGGATTCGTCTGATAATACTGATCCCATTATTAGTTGGATTACCCTTCCCGATCCCAGCATTTTGGCTCTCTTACCTTGAGATAGCTCTACCGGTCCTTCCATCCATGGCTCCAACCGCAGACCTCTTGAGGCGCGTCTGGAGTAAGGTAAAAGCGTCCTTTCATATTACTGGCTCTTTCCTGTATACCCTTGTGGAACAATCTGCAATATGTAGAACTGGCTAAACTGGAGGTTTTTCATGACTGGAGGGGGTCAAGGCCTGAAATTTGTATCTCAGCTGTATTTGGGGGGAATCCTAAAGTCCTTTCCTCAACTGCAAATGGAATTTAAATTTACACATCAGCATTTTTATTGTTATCTTCAGCTACGCCATGCGGTACATGCTCAGTATTCGCTCTCTACCCTCACATTGACAGACTCAGTTTTTCTTAAGGATGTTACTCAGGCAACCCATAAGAAGGGCATGATTTCTCAGGTATACTCCCAGCTATTGTCCACAGTACAGGATCAAGCTAATCTCCCGAGCAGGGTGCAGTGGTCCCAGGATATTGGAGAGTTTGCTGGAGATGTCTGGGATTTTCTTCTTTCTCCCCCTCACATACCAACATCGCAATGCTTATCGTAAGTTCCAGCAGGTATGCCAGGGTTGGCTGGATACACCTGGGCTCGCCCCTCAATTGATAGTGGACCGACTTTTGCAGGTGTGATATTTTATATCAGGTGTTTGGCTCCACTCCTCCCCCTGGGGAGCTCATGTGCATCTTCCATTCTTTTTGATGAGACGTCGCGGGTGAACCAGAGGTGGTTGTTGTGGTTTTTTTTGTTTTTTTTTTTTATTGTTTGAAGGCATGTTTTGGGCTTTGTTCCTTTCCCCCCTATTTTGTTTACATCTGGACAGGAAGGAATAAAACGTAAAAAAAGGAAAAAGCAAGGTATTGTCAAGAAGTTTTGGATGCTTGCGGTCTCGATTTTGTTTGATTACCATTTCTGTTATTCTGTTTATTATGGGATCTGCGTATCCACGTTGTTCTATTTATGTGTAATCCTGCTGTTGCAGTTATGTCATTGTGGATTCTGCAAGTACAGTTCCATTTTCTCTATTAACTTGACAATAAAAGTTGTTTGGATTATAAAATAAAAAAAAAAAAAAGCGTTCGTAAAATCCAGATGCACCATGTTCATAGGCCCACTCCTATCCAATTTACAGCTTACCTCCTCCTGGAATTAAAAAGGTTGGTCTGGCAAGAACAGTCCTTCCGAAATCAATGTTGATTACTAGTGATATTTTCATCAGCCTATTCTTGCATGTGGTTCCTTACCATTCTCTCTAATAGTTTACATACTGATGTGTTAGGCTGACTATTCTGCATTTTCTAGGACTATATCTTGGCCCCTTTTTGAATATTGGTACCATGCTTGCTTTACGCCAAGCAGTTGGTACCATTCCAGTCAGTCATATTATAGCCTTTTTTAAGGAAAGCTTACGGAGTTATTTGAAAACCATCAGGTTTAAGCCATCCAGCCCTAGTGATTTATTCATATTACATTTTTCTCGCCTTTTTGAACACTAGTCTCTGTCAGTCACAAGGGTACATTCAAAATACTGTTATTAACAGTACTATCTTTGTATAACAAAATGTATTTAATACAGTTGCCTTGTCCTTGCCACTTGTGACCAACTTACCTTGATCATCTTTAATGGGGCCCAATATGTTTTGGCCTCACCTTTTTACTATGAAAAGAATTCAAAAATGTTTATTACCCTCCTCTTCAATGTTTCTGCAATGTATTCTATTTTAACGGCCCCGATTCCACTCTTTCATTTCTTATTGTATTCTTTGTAGTTTTAGAATATTTATTAAAGGACAGCTTTTTTCCATTGATAATACTTTTAACCTTACTGTTCCAGCCACCCAGGTTTGACTTTTGTTCGTTTATTTTTGTAGCCCATTATAACAGCTGCTACTGGGTGGAGGGGGTTCACTTGGCACTGTTACACCCTGAAAACCAGTGTAACATGTTGTAAGATTGAGTTAGCATTTTAACCTCCATCAGCAAAAGAAGTTATATGGATGCTGTAAGTCAGAAAACAAACACACACGCGCTAAAAACCATGTTAGAATGACACAGACAGGAAAGCTGGCTTTGGTATCACTGTGTTTGGAGCAGGACCAGTATTTAGCTTTAATAAGGTAAGCGTAGTATTTTAAAGGGGTTAATAAGAGGGATTTCATTCAGCTTAGGGTTTATATTTTAGGCGGTAAGAGGTAAAGGGAATAGGGAGAGTCGGGTGAGTGCTGGGATCAGCTTTGTAGTCATGGCACATGTTGTTTTCTGACATTTTTTTTTGGTACCAAACCCAACAGCAACTGTTTAACGTATATCAGGGAGAAAAAGTAAACAAAAAACCATCGTGTCTGTTGCTATATTCTGTTCGAACCATGGATTTCGCTACTCACAATGTGCATGTACCACTATGTGCAAAGAGGAAACGGTTACCTGTGTGAAGGAGATGGGCTTATCTTTGGTAATGTAATCTGCATATTTGCAGGCAAACATTCCACAGTCACTTCCATTCATTTGCTGGGGAATTTCCTAAAGAACAATACAGGTGTGACATTCAATCATACAAGAACCTTCAAAAAAACTACTGTCAGCTAAATGCCAATGCTTTCAAACACATCAGGTATCAAAATCTAAAGATCATTTACAAATCAAAATCCCATATAAGAACTCTGTAGTCTACAGAAACATAAGTTGGACAGAAACGAGGAAGGCCAACACGGTGCCAGTAAAAAAAAAAAAAAAAAAAAAAAAAAAAAAAAAAAAACAAACAAAAAAAATACAGAACCTGCTTCCTCTAGCCAACGAAGGTCTGTAAAAACCTGGCATACATGCAAAAACATATTATCCTATTACGAAAAATTTATAGCAATAGCAGCAATGGTGCCTAAAACAGCATTCAGTAAGGAAATAACTAATTCTGCTCAGATGTTCAAAGTAAAGCATTCAGTTTGTATATGGGTTTTTGATTTGTTAACCACTTAGCCTCTGGAAGATTTACCCCCCCTTCCTGACCAGGCCATTGTTTGTAATACGGCACTGCATTACTGTAATTGACGTCATGCAACGCGGTACATAAATGAAATTTATTTCACTTTTTTCCCCACAAATAGAGCTTTTGGTGATATTTTATCACTACTGCGGTTTTTTTTTCTGCTATAAACAAAAAAGACCGTCAAATTTGAAAAGAAAAAAAAAAAAAAAAAAAAAACCCCCACACAATAATTTTTTGGCTTCTACTATAAAACATATACAATAAAAAAATGAGAAATAAAAAAACATGTCTTCATAAAATTTAGACCAATATGTATTCTGCTACATATTTATGGTAACAAAAAAAAATCCCAATAAGCATATATTAATTGGTTTGTAGATTGGTTAGGATTATATGTAGAGACTGCCTGTGAGTTAAGCTACCTGCTGTCCAGAAAGAGTAACCACTTTCCTTCATGATGTCTTTTTAGAAGTGATTTTTTTGTGAATGCTTTCTTGGTTGCAGAACGACACCAATATTAGTAAGTGGGCAAATTCTAGTTTACTATAAAAAACATTCTGTATGCTTTTTCATTGATATTTAGGTATCAAAAACATACCCCACATCTCTTACTGCTCAGAGACCATCCATTACAGTCAAAACTGAACCCTTTCTTGTCTTGACTCTCTAGCTTTAGATATTGCCTGCAAAAAAAAAAAAAAAAGAAATAAGCTGCTTTGAAATGTGGGGGATGGCCATACGAAACACGTTAAAACACAATTTCCCAGGGTAGCTTAAGTCCTCATAAACACTGGGCGTTTTTATAGCTACTGTTTTTGGCTTTTGCCGTTTTTTTCTACAGCTAGTAAACCCCCGGCATGTTATCATATATGTCCACGTACAAAGACTAATCAACATTTTTTGGCAGGGACGTTTTTTGGCTGAGAAAAAAAAAAAAAACACAGCACTAGTGGGTTTCTAGGAGAGTTTTTTTAGCTGTAAAAACACTCTAACGCTGAAAAACGCAATAAAACACAGCAAACCGGCAATTTGGGAGTTTGATCAAAACCCGCTAAAAACGCAGAAAACCGCCACTAAACGCTAAAGCAAAAATGCTTAACTCACGTTTTTAACACACAGCTAACATTACCAGTGTTATCAAAACACCCAGTGTGCATGGAGCCTAATACAAAGAAGCAATATCCTAGTATTTATTCAGCAAGATTGCTTGTGTTGCATTGTACCCAATCAATAAAATCTCATAGAAGTGTTCACATGTGAATTTAAAGCATAAACTAAACTCTCTCAATCAGCAGTAACTATTTAATGCTCATGTTACTATCATTAGTAAAATGATAGGAAAGTATATTATATTTACTTGTATTTTCTTTTTATACATGTCTTCAATTGCTTTCTAGTCTAGACCAAAATTTGATATCATACATTCCAGAAGTATTCATGGGCATTTTTTCCTTTCATCTGGAGGAGGGGAGGAGGGACTTTCTCAGCTAAGCACACCCTTCTGCCTGCATGCCTGAGCTAAAAGCAGATTGATTCCAGGAAGTACATATTATATGAATCATCTGCCCTTACTCAAGATGGCCACAGCTACAAATGCTAGGGTGGCATTTTTTCAAAATGATTTCTCAACAAAAAGCATGGACACATGGATGGATAGGGGGAGTTTGCTTTGAATATCAAAAATGAAAAATATTTTCAGTTTGTGTTGCTCAGATACAGTTTAGTTCGGCTTTAATTTGACTTAGCACGGCTATCAAATAAATAAAGCAAACTTGCTTTGAAATAGTTCAGCTGTCTCCGTACTGTAATGCAGAAGTAATCGGGTGGCAATGTGTGCTCCAATCAGCCAAAGTTCCAAGAACTTCACTGTGGATAAGAGAAAAGAAGATGGAAGACTTTCTGCCCTTGGTTTGATTTGCATTCCCTAGAGACTGCCATGAGTACAGCTCACCTACGCAGATGAATGTGGTTACGGCTCACATTCGTTGTAAAAGATACACCAGGCAGGAACATTTTAGCTGCAAATACTGTGCAGCCTTAGGCAGGACCACACAGTGAAGATCGCTGGAATGAATAGAAAATTTAAATTTTTCCAAGCAGGCTGCACTTGGGAGGTGGGATTACAGCTGTCCTTTAACTGTGAACTCAATGTAAGTTACACATAGTTGAGGTACTTACAGTAATAACTTGCATGCTTCATTGTTCTGGCCTCCCATTGAGTCATAGTACATTATGGTTTTTTTCCTAAAATCTATCACCTGTGAAACATACAAAATTAAGATATTAAACTGGAGCAAGACTACATAAATCTATTTGAAATCTATTTTGGAATAAAGATTTATTGTTACTATAAAATGTTTAATTCACACATACTGTAAATGCCTTTATATTAATTTGGACGGTTGGAGAGAAAGTCTGCGTGGTGATTGTTTCTTCACTGTTCTGAGCTTGGTGGCCATTTGCAGTACGGGCAGAGGATCCTCTGTCCTTTTACAACCTGGAATTCATTGACACCCCTTCCCAAAGACACACAGGAGGTCCTGTGCTCTACCTGTAAATCCCACTGTGAGGTCTGGGCAAGGACAGAACTCTTATGTTAATACATAGGCTGCACTAATAGTTACTTTATTACTGTATGGTAATGCTGGACTAATTTCCCCTATTGCACTTTCAGCACCATTACAAAAAAAGGAGTCATTTTTAAATGACCGATTCAAAATGCAATTGAATCTGTTCAAAAGAAAGTTAAGACATTTTAAGTAAAGTCAGGAGGAAGATCAATTTCAGTAACCCTTCAAAGCTGAGCAGTAAGATCCAGAAGAAAAAAAAAAAAAAAAAAAAAAAGTCCATTCTAATATGCATCTGGAATTTAACCTTTTCAGTCCCACATCCTAACCCACCCCCCCTTCCCCAATCCCTTTTCACGGTTATGAGCCAAAGCATTTTGCATCCATCTTACAACTTTTAAGTTATACATCTCTTGTTAGTGACAGATAGGGATTTTATTTCGTAGCACTGTGAAAGGGTTAAATTCCATATCTTGGAGTATAGTACTGGACACAGGCAAAGCATTCAAAGACTCTGGACAAAGACTTCATACCTTCAGGTGACGGGAAAGTAGCAAAGCTTCCTCATAACTCTACCCCAACTCTATACGAGTACTGCGTTTTGTTGCAATGAAAAGATGCAAACTTGTCTGCCACTGTAAAGTGCAGAAAGTAATTAGGTGGATAATGGGAACATGAAGACAGGCATCCTGGAGGTCTATGGATGCCATGTTTGCCCCTTGTGTTAGAAAGGCAACTACCGACCTGGCAGATTGCTTGTGAAATTTTTAGGTATTTGTTGAGGTATTTTAAAAATTGAGTATTGGTGAAACACCCCCCCTGCTGGGCTTTGGTATCAAACAGGCTTGCGTAGAATCCACTAAATCTGTCTTGTAGAGGTACTGGGGCAACTACTTCCTGGGAGAGAATTCACGACATTCTACTAATGCGACTGTCCTCGGGCAGACTTTGGCTGATTTGAGAGAAGCAAGCAATGAGGAAGTAAAATTTTGAACTCGATTTTGGACCCCTGTAACTGCAAGAGTGCCCCTTCATTGGGAACTGAGATTTGGGAAAGGTCTTTTTGGTGTAAGACGTTTGCAAGTTGAAGCTTGGATAGAGCGGTTAGGTGCTTTGCCTTTCAGGAAGTAGGAGGCTCCTTCCCTTCCTGGGACAGCTTTGATGAATCATTAAAGTGCCTCTCTAAATAAACATCTTCCATGAAAAGGAATATATGAGGTACTTTTTACAGGCAGCTTCAGCTTTCCAGTATTTTAAAATCACAAAAATTATGCGTAGGTGAATGGAATTTAGGGTCATTCTGGAAACGGGTATCATGATATGTACATCCACATTCTCTAGAGTACCTGCAGTAATTAAAACAATCCAGAAAATGGGATCAAATTGGTTGTTCATTGCCCTAATCCAGTTAGTTGCAATATGACATACTGACATGCTGCATGAAGCTCTCTGCTTCAGGTATAAAAGTGGGGGAGAATTTTTTTTTCTGCCTCTTTACTCTCCTCATTCCCTTCAGCGACTGCCTCGGCAAGGGAAAACATTAGTATCTGACCCACACACAGAGAAGCTGGAGAAGGAGTTTGGCATGTTGTAGCCCTGGACAGAGATGGTTGTGTTAAAACTATTCATTGCTCAAGGAATTGTGACACAGATGCAGAAAATTCTGCTTCTGTCAGTTAGGCCACTTGTTGCATTCCAGAACAGGAATGCTACAACCCCGATGTAGACCATCTTGTATTGAATCCTCATAGCAAAAAGGGAGGGAGGATTGCTTGAGGACCTTACAAGACCTGTAGGTGGAAATAGCAGTAAAAAGTGCACCTGTGGTCTAATGTCACACCTGGTCATCCAGAGTCTGAACAGCTGAATTTTGAATCTGAAAAAAGTTTACACACCATTAAGAAAACTATTCAAATATCGCCCTGATGATTAGCAATGTAGGTCAGAAGCATACAGAGTGAACCTGTCTTACCTCTCCATGATGTTGGACTGTATATAAAATGTGGGCATACCCCTAAAGGGGTATTGAGGAACTAGGTTCCATAGGGATAGCAAGATAACCCATGCGGAATCCAGGGCCCAAAGCAACATTACATTCCGAACCCACAGTCTGGTCAGTCTTTGGGGTCCAGGTGCAGCCCCCATAGTTTAGAAAGTCTGCACAGATCTATATGTACTGCTTCGATTTGTGGAATTAGAAAACAGTTAGGAGGAAATAATAAAAATGGATTTAGTGAAGAGAGATTTTTACTGTGAAGGAGAAGAGGTTTGTCATCTTAAAACACTCGCAAAAACCCCCCCCAAAAAAATGAGGACTCGATGATTGGGGTAGATTTATAGGGGAGGCGCCTAGACAGAGTTAACTCAAAAGCTTTGCTGGTGTCCAATCACCTGAAGGTACAAGCCATATGCACATACATTTCTAGATGAACCATATTAGATTTCTAAACTTTTACTATAGGGGTGATGACATATGAAAAGATAGCTCAGTGGTAAGAAAAATTCTTGCTTACAGCTAAGCACCAATGAACTCCAAGATGAACTGGAACCAATAAAATATCTGCAGAGAACACATCCACCTTTTTTGTCCACCGCTTCACAGCTTGAAATCCAGCCGATTTTAGTTTTGGAAAAAAGAATGTATTGAAAGCATGGACTTTGGGCAAACCTTTTCGTTTACTTCTTTCCATCAACAGGTTCATATAGAAATTTATTATCTGTATTACAAAAAAAAAAAAAAAAAAAAAAAAAAAAAAACACAAGTTATGAGAATTTTATCTACATGTTTTCATTAAAAAACAGAAGAACTTTAACTTACCTGTGAATTCCATATCTTTGAGTACAGTACAGGACACAGGAAATTTATTCATACACCATGGGTTATAGGCCTGTACCTTCAAGAGACTGGAGACTAGCAAGCTCTCATGAACACGCCTCACCCAAAACGCTAACCCACTCCACAAGTCCTCAGTTTTATAGCAACAATGCAGAGTAACAAGGGGAGTTTAGGGAGGTTGACCTGTATTCTGTACTGTATAGTAAAATATGGAATTTACAGGCAAATCAAAAGCGGACCTAAATCCTACAGTACAGGACAAAGGTAACTTATTCATACCCCATGGGACATCCCTATGCAATGGATAAGGGTGGTTAACAACTAGGCAAAGGAAACGGTGCCAACAAGCCCAAAAAACAAAAAAGGGTCAAAAACCCAAGTTCAGAGTACTGCTGCAAGAACCTTGTGGCCAAAATCTGCATTCAAAGAAGATTGGACATCCACCTGGTAAAACTTTGATATGATATATCTCAATGCAGCACTAAAAAAAAAAAAAAAAACCTTAAGTATCCTAAACCAGTGCAATACAACAATCTCATGTATATACAAATTCCTTTACATTAAAGCGGAGTTCCACTCACCGTCAAAAAAATAAAAGTCAGCAGCTACAAAAACTGTAGCTGCTGACTTTTAAAAAACAGCCACTTACGTGTCCCTCAGTGTGTCCCCCACAGCCAGTTTCACCGGCTGTCCTGTATTCCAGGATGCCGGCATCTTCAGTGTGGGCACCCAGCTGTGATAACTTGCGGCTTCACAGCCGGGTACCCACTGCTCATGCGTGAGTAGTGCTGCGCTTCACGAATGGTCCTGTAGTCTTCTGGGACCTGTCACGTGTCCCAAAAGACTAGAGGGAGGGAAGACACCTTCCGCAGTCCCTAAAGCAGAACTTCCCCTTTTGGGTGGAGCTCCGCTTTAAGCGCAGGTGGCAGGGATCACATGGTGATTAAAGAAGGAGCACATAGAAAATACAAGTGAATGATTATATAAAAAAAAAAGGACACTGGACAAATTTTGGAGCACGTGGTTTGCATTGTTTAACCGCCTCCTGCCCGCCATATAGTAATATGACAGACGCAAGGTGGTTCTCTTGTTCTGGGAGGACGTCATATGACTTCCTCCCATTCTCACCGCGCATGCGCGGCTCCTGGAGCACAGCGATGCGCTGTGCCCCTTGGACACAGCGGCTTACCGATCCACGGAAAGAGGCAAAGATGTCGGCTTGGTCATGTGATCAGCTGTGTCCAATCACAGCTGATCACATGTAAACAGGGAAATGCCGGTTATCGGCATTTCTCTCCCCACAAGCGGTCACGCTGACAGCTCGTGAGGAGAGCCGGTAATCTGCATTCCTCGGAGGGAACATGTACACAGATCATCAGGGCACGGATGATCAGTGTGCCCTGATGATCTGTGTAGCCCCAGCAGCGCCACCTGTCAGTGTCCATCAGTGCCAGCTATCAGTGCTCATCCATGCCACCTGCCAGTGCCCATCAGTGCCACATTTCAGTGCCACATATGTGCCCATCTGAGCTGCCTTTCAGTGTCACCCATCAATGCCACCTATCAATGCCACCTATCAATGCCAGTCAGTGCTGCCTATCAGTGCCATATATGAGTGCTGCCTTTCAATGCCCATCAGTGCCACCTACCAGTGTCTCCTCATCAGTGCAGCCTATCAGTGCCCATCACTGCAGCCTCATTAGCGCACATCAGTGAAGGAGAAAAATCACTTATTTACAAAATTTTATAACCAACTAAGAAAAAACTTTTCCAAAATTTCAGTGGTTTTTGGTTTAAGAAAAAATAAAAAACCCAGGAGGTTATTAAATACCACCAAAAAAAAAAAATGCAAAAAAAAATTCATATGGGTACAGTGTTGCATGACCGTGCAATTGTAATTCAAAGTGCGACAGCACTGAAAGCTGGAAATTGGCCTGGGCAGGAAGGGGGTATAAGTGCCCTGTAGGCTAGTGGTTAAAAGGCACAGATTGATGCACTTTAAACTTGAGATTTTTTTTTTTCTTCTTGCATATATATGTAATTAATGCACTTCAATTGGATGGTTTGCACAGTGTAAAAAGTCCATATAAACAACGAACTTAATATAAAGGAATCTGTATACACACACACACACACACACACACACACACACACACACGTGATTGTTATATTCTATCACACTGGTTTAGGATACTTAGGGATTTTTTTTTTTTTTTTAGATCTACCTTGTTTCAGATCAAATAATTTTGATTTTATGTAGCTGCTAGTAGATATCTTTTAATTGCACAGGTTTTAATATTCAGTTAAAAACTTTGAAAAGGTACAAACAGAAGACCAGGTGGCAACGTTACACAGGTAACAGAGGAAAAAAAAAAAAAAGAAAAAAAGGAATACCAGACTGCGTCACAGTTATCAGGGGTCTTTAGCTATAATAGGAAAGCAGTATATTTTGGTAGTGTCCCGAACAATGAGCATGAAATATAAAAAACAGCGCTAACCTACCCCCAAAACACAATCAATGCTATGAAATAAAAATCGCACCACACACACAAAGGAGATAGAGATGGAGATGATAGAGATAGAGATGATAGAGATAGAGATGATAGAGATAGAGATGATAGAGATAGAGATGATAGAGATAGAGATGATAGAGATAGAGATATATACACACACACACACACACATATATACACACACATACACATATATATATATACACACACACACACATACACACACATACACACATATATATATATACACACACACATACACACACATACACATATATATATATACACACACACACACACACACGTAATCATGCAATAAATTACTTCTAATATAACTCAAAATACAGAACTTAAACCCCTCTTATATAACCACTACTACAAGTAAATGTGAAAAATGTTAATCGTGTAAGATATGCAAAATGTTAAAGTGCTACTTCGCAATAAATACTCTAATACAATTCACATCGCAAATTAAAATAAAATTCACTGTAATAATTATATTGCGTGTTCCAATACACACATTATATATATATATATATATATATATATATATATATATATATATATATACACACACACCATAAATATCAAAATTCTTGTGTCTTCTTATCATGCAGCACCAAAAAAATATTGTATTTTTCCATCACCGGATAAGTTAGATGAACTCACAGAGCTCCAGGCTGGTAATATTATTAAGGTTTATAAGAGAACTCTGAATAGTTGATTTTTAGCGCTAAGTTTAAAATAGTGAAGAAAAAAAAAAAAAAAAAAAAAAAAAACACATTTCAAACAGAAGCCCTCTTTAAACATTACACTCTTAACTGTCCACAATGCTGGACTGTATAGAAAGTCAAGGCTTCATCCATCACAGTGGGCATACCCCAAGGGGGTCTTCAGGGTCCGGGTTTAATAGTGATGGACTACAGCCCTGGACATGTATAGCACCCTGCGGCTAACAACGCGTTACATCAAGTACCAAGGTGAGCGTCCCACACAAGATCCAGTGCCCAGACTGTCCCCACAGTGTGGTGTCCAACTCACAAAGTTCTACCAAGGCTGCACTAATCTGTATATATTGTTTCTGGGTAGACAGAAGACAGTGAGGGTTAATTGAAGGATCGGAAGATAAAATAAAAGAAAAAAATAAGAACTAGTGAAGCTGGTTTCTCCATTACGTAGAATACATCCATAACTATTCCATCAAGAGTAGAGACACTTGCACCGGCTCCTCACAATATTAAAACTTTTCCAAACAATTGTAGAAAAGGTTAGTAGGCTGATTGCTCCAAAGAGAAAAACGTTGAATGCAACAGGCGTTGTATGCACGATGACATGGTCATATCACGGATGCAACACCCGTTGTGGTCGACATTTTTCTGTTTGGAAAGATCAGCCTGATAACTTTTTCTACGATTGTCTGGAAACGTTTTAATATTGTGAGGCAGTGGTACATAAATGGCTTTTGCTTTTTTTTTTTTATTATTATTATTACAAACTTCACTATGGAAGTGTTGTCTTAGTGACTTTATGGTGTTTCCATGTGGATGCCGGTGCAAGTGTCTACTCCTGGTGGAATCGTTATTGGAGACTAATTATGGGTGCATCTTGACCATTTAAAATTTAATGGTCCATCAAATCTGGTAAGAGGCATCTGTACACTTGGTGGTGGAAGACATTGCATCATATCTGACTGGTCACCCTCATGGAAGGACTGATTACTTTGGAAATTTTTTGCTTGATTTATGAAATTATTTGATTTCTAATTGATCCCATATCTTTGGTATTATATGGATTATTCACTTGGCACTATTTAAGAATGAATAGACACACTTTTTAGATTATGTTATTCACTTATTTATTCATGTGAGATTTATCTGGATCTATTTTCTGTTTAATTTTTTTTTATTCTTTTTTTATTTTGTATGTATATGAATTTAATAGTTTTTCAAGAAGTGTTTGTAGTGCTGCCGTTTCTGTTTTGTTGAGGTTTTAGCTGGTATCATAGCTGTTCAGTGGCGTCTTGGTTAGGATATTATTTGACCTAATGCAGATATTTTTTGTTTATATGTACTAGCAAAAAACTGAGGACTCATGGAGTAGGGTAGGGTCATAGGAGAGGCATCCCAGGGGGGCCAGTCCTTGAAAGATTACCAGTGTTCAATCACCTGAAGGTACAAGCGTATAACCCATGGTGTATGAGAAAGTGGCCTGTATCTTGTACTGTAAGATGAAGATTGTTTTTTTTTTTTTTTTTTTTACAAATTAGTGTACAGATTGTAATATTGAAAATGCTAAACAAAATTATAGAGCAGAAAAAGACTATTTTACAACAAAAAAAACAAACTCTCAATGGTATATTTACAGACAAGAGCAAATAAAAGTTCACGGTTACATTTACAAAATCTATATTAACTGCTTCCTGACCGCCCTATAGCAGAAATACAGCTACAGGGCGTCAACAGTGTGCAAAATCATATGACGTTCTCCCATTCTAAACGCACATGCGCGGCGATCAGCGGTGCGCTGTATCCCTTGGACACAACGGATCACCGATCCACGGAAAGAGCCGAAGATGTCGGCTCGGTCATGTGATCAGCTGTGTCCAATCACAGCTGATCACATGTAAACAGGGAAATGCCGGTTATCGGCATTTATCTCCCCACGAGCTGTCACGCTGACAGCTCGTGAGGAGAGGAGAGCCGGTAGTCTGCATTCCTCGGAGGGAACATGTACACAGCTCATCAGGGCACTGATGATCAGTGTGCCCTGATGATCTGTGTAGCCCCAGCAGTGCAACCTGTTAGTATCCATCAGTGCCAGCTGTCAGTGCTCATCCATGCCACCTACCAGTGCCCATCAGTGCCACATCAATGCCACATATCAGTGCCCATCTGAGCTGCCTTTCAGTGTCACCCATGAGTGCCAGTCAGTGCCGCCTATCAGTGTGCATAAGTCCCACCTATCCAGTGCCTGTCAGTGCCACCTTTCAGTGCCATATATGAGTGCTGCCTTTCAGTGCCCATCAGTGATGCCTGGCAATGCCCATCTGTGCCACCTACCAGTGCCTCCTCATCAGTGCCACCTCATTAGCGCACATCAGTGAAGGAGAAAAAAATCACTTTCAAAATTTTCAGTGGTTTTTGGATTAAGAAAAAAAACACAGAAGTGATTAAATACCACCAAAATAAAGCTGTCACAACAAAAATGATAAAAAATTTCATATGGGTACAGTGTTGCATGACCGCGCAATTGTCAAAGTGCGACAGCACTGAAAGCTGGAAATTGGCGTGGGCAGGAAGGGGGTATAAGTGCCCTGTAGGCTAGTGGTTAAAAGCACTGACACTGTACTAATGGCACTGGGCAGGAAGGGGTTAACATGTGGGGTGATCAAAGGGTTAACTGTGTTCTGTTTCACAGTAAGCCATATCTATGCTTTCAACTGTAAGCACACTGCTTTGTATGACTCTGGATATGCAGAGCCATACAAAGTGTGCTGGAACTGACAGGGGAGAGAACTGTATTGTTTACATACAGTTCTCTCACCCCGTCGGTAATACTCAGCGCCGATAGCAACGTGGGTAAGACACGCGCCCCCTACCCGGAGATGGAAAATCACATATATATTACACATGTGATTTTGTGCACCCCTGCTGCCCTGGAGTAGTATTTCTGCTATAGGGCGGCGGAAAAGCGGTTAACAGATGAAAATTAGTGAGATGTGAACATTTTTGTTTTTCATTAAGTTGCATAATAATTTTTCACACTAATAGTTGCCCCATAATTGTGCACACAGATACTCTCCTAAGAAAGCCAAAATCTCACTTTTAGTTTCTTAAATATTCATGTTTAAAGTTTAACATGTTGGATTGACCGAGAACATTGCAGTTGTTCATAAATGAAGTTAATCCTTAAAAATACAACTTGCCCAGTTGTGCACACAGTGCAATTTAATGACTCAACTTCATTTTTTTATATTTTACCAAAAAGTTTGCATTTTGGTTGCACTAAAGTTAATTTTAGTGTATTTTTTCCTGAAAAAATGCATTTGATAAATAGGTCCATAAATATCATGCAACATAGAAAATTGCAAATGCCACCATTTTTTCTTCAGGGTCTCTACTTTCAGAAAATATATAATGGTTTTGGAAAAGGAATTTCTTTTAAAAAAAAAAGAAAATGCAGATTTTAACATTTGTGTGAAAAGTTAACAAAATAGCCCTGAAAACAAGCAGTTAAGCTTCGATTTCAGAAGGACACTGAAGAACCTACCTCGTCATTTAGCCAGTTTAAGTTATGAAGCGTCATTATATCTTTACGAGTTATAGTCAAGCGGAAACCTTCACTAAGGACTTGATCATTATTTCCACCAAATAGAGCACTCTTTATTTCTTTTTCCATTTCCTTCAAAACAAAAAAGATGGGGGTAAAAAGGGCTTTACAAAGATTATTCAATAAAATGGAATAGATAGATAGGAATAGATAATCAAGGACAAAAGAATCTGGATCACCTTCACAGGTACATTTCTGCATAGAAAGACTGCTATATAAATATGTATATATTTTTTTTTCCTCCAAAAAGTGGTATGGCATTAACTTGTGATGGTGTTTTATTGCTACATGCAGCAAGACATACTATGCATGCGATAAGAAAATGTATCTAGAATGATACATTAGCTGCCATCAGTACAGCATGCTCCAGATTTGAAATGGGTCCCAGGACGCTGCAAAAATCCATTCAGTTAAACAAATGTAAAGCACTGCTATGCAGTCACCAAAGGGTACATACCTTCTGACTTCCAAGTCCAAAGTTTTGAATCAAACAATGTGCAGTATGTAAATATCCATTTAAATCCATTATTATGTTGTTAGCTGACTGCATAAATATGTTGGCAAGCTGGTACAAGGTGTTATGGAAATCATCTTTCACTGGCCTAAGTGAACTATGCTGTTAAAAGCTAAACTGTGGTCAATATGGGTTTATAATGCACATAAATCTGAAATCGTAAGTTACCTGCATAAGCTCTGGAAATTCTGGCTCTTCCTGGACAGATTCTTCTACTGGTTTTGGAAGTAATGTAACAGGGATTTCTTTTTCAAGCGGTACACGCAGTTTCAAATTGATATCGTCTTTTACACCACATTCCTGCAGCCTCTAAACACGTTTAAAATTAAATACATTTAATTACATGACAAACATTAAAACACAAAAAGATATAACAAAACAGAATGACTCCAGAAATAAAATCACTGAGAAGTTATTAGAGGTGGAATCTGGCAGACAAGAACTCTGTAGGATATACAGTCCGGTCCATAAATATTGGGACATCGACACAATTCTAAAATTTTTGGCTCTATACACCACCACAATGGATTTGAAATGAAACAAACAAGATGTGCTTTAACTGCAGAGTGTCAGCTTTAATTTGAGGGTATTTACATCCAAATCAGGTGAACAGTGTAGGAATTACAACAGTTTGCATAAGTGCCTCCCACTTGTTAAAGGACCAAAAGAAATGGGACAGAATAATAATCGTAAATCAAACTTTCACTTTTTAATACTTGGTTGCAAATCCTTTGCAGTCAATTACAGCCTGAAGTCTGGAATGCATAGACATCACCAGACGCTGGGTTTCATCCCTGGTGATGCTCTGCCAGGTCTCTACTGCAACTGTCTTCAGTTCCTGCTTGTTCTTGGGGCATTTTCCCTTCAGTTTTGTCTTCAGCAAGTGAAATGCATGCTCAATGGGATTCAGGTCAGGTGATTGACTTGGCCATTGCATAACATTCCACTTCTTTCCCTTAAAAAACTCTTTGGTTGCTTTTGAAGTATGCTTTGGGTCATTGTCCATCTGCACTGTGAAGCGGCGTCCAATGAGTTCTGAAGCATTTGGCTGAATATGAGCAGATAGTATTGCCCGAAACACTTCACAATTCATCCTGCTGCTTTTGTCAGCAGTCACATCAATAAATACAAGAGAAACCAGTTCCATTGGCAACCATACATGCCCACGCCATGACACTACCACCACCATGCTTCACTGATGAGGTGGTATGCTTAGGATCATGAGCAGTTCCTTTCCTTCTCCATACTCTTCTCTTCCCATCACTCTGGTACAAGTTGATCTTGGTCTCATCTGTCCATAGGATGTTGTTCCAGAACTGCGAAGGCTTTTTTAGATGTCGTTTGGCAAACTCTAATCTGGCTTTCCTGTTTTTGAGGCTCACCAATGGTTTACATCTTGTGGTGAACCCTCTGTATTCACTCTGGTGAAGTCTTCTCTTGATTGTTGACTTTGACACACATACACCTACCTCCTGGAGAGTGTCCTTGATCTGGCCAACTGTTGTGAAGGGTGTTTTCTTCACCAGGGAAAGAATTCTTTGGTCATCCACCACAGTTGTTTTCCGTTGTCTTCCGGGTCTTTTGGTGTTGCTGAGCTCACCGATGCGTTCCTTCTTTTTAAGAATGTTCCAAACAGTTGTTTTGGCCACGCCTAATGTTTTTGCTATCTCTCCGATGGGTTGGGTTGGTTTTGTTTTTTTTTTTCAGGCTAATGATGGCTTGCTTCACTGATCGTGACAGCTCTTTGGATCACATCTTGAGAGTTGACAGCAACAGATTCCAAATGCACGCACTTGAAATGAACTCTGGACCTTTTATCTGCTCATTGTAATTGGGATGAGGGAATAACACACCTGGCCATGGAACAGCTGAAAAGCCAATTGTCCCATTACTTTTGGTCCCTTAACAAGTGGGAGGCACATATGCAAACTGTTGTAATTCCTACACCGTTCACCTGATTTGGATGTAAATACCCTCAAATTAAAGCTGACAGTCTGCAGTTAAAGCACATCTTGTTTGTTTCATTTCAAATCCATTGTGGTGGTGTATAGAGCCAAAAATGTTAGAATTGTGTCGATGTCCCAACATTTATGGACCTGACTGTATTTAGACATGCAAGTAGAGTGAAAATAAAATAAAAGAGCAAATTTTGGGTTACTACTAGAACAGAAAGACAAATCTTCCAACTAGTTTTTCCATTTTGGCCCAAACTATTTAAAAATAGACATTAAACATGGAATTACACTTATAAGGATTGCCTCCATGGTACTGTGGGTTTGTTAGAAGTGATAGAATACCTTTGTAAGCTTGAGCAGAGAAAGGACAAAGCAATTAGAAAAGAATAAATCAATGTTCGCAAGTCACAACTCACGCTGAATCTAACCTAGGGCATGTGACAAAGCAGCAAGACACTTCCAGTTAACTGAAGTCACTCAATGAACTGATAAACTGGCTAGACAATCATTCACCAATATTAGGTCCCTGCAAAAACGCACCCTAATCCCCTGTGGTGTCACTGCCTCAAAATGTATTTCCATGTTTGCAGTCAAATTTGAATAACCCCCAATAGGTTTGTTGTGTGTTCCTATTCACACAGCATACCTAAAAATAATTAAATAAAAATATATCTTAAACTTTCTACTTTTTTCTTTGAATCCGGTTTATACATAGGACTGTAAAGGAAGTTTGCAAGCTATTCTGAACAAATTTTAAACTACAGGGACAAACTGAGGGAAAGTTTAACATACAATGCATCACCCTAAGCTTGAGTTCTTCAACCCTTTGTTAGGACAGACTGTTCAAATTTATGCAAAATCAGGAAGTGAAACTCTTGCACTGCCAGAAATAAAAATACAAACAAAAAGCTGCTGCCCACACCTAAATGTGTTCACATATAATTATCAAAAAAGAAATGTGTAGTGCGGCACGGCTAGTTAGATCTCAATCACAGCCTCCAATAATCTAATAGCATATCCAGCAGGTAAAATAAGTATTGAACCAGTCACCATATTGTTAGGTAAATATATTTCTAAAGGTGCTATTGACATGAAATTTACACAACATGTTGTTAACAACCCATGCAATCCATACAAAGAAACCAAAACAAATAAGTTCAGAAATTAAATTATGTGTAATAAAATGGAATGGCACAGGGAAAAAACGTATTGAACACATGGAAGAAAGGAAGGTGCAAAAAAGGCATGGAAAGCCAAGACACCAGCTGAAATCTATCAGTAATTAGCAAGCAATCATGCCCCTTTTCAGTGTAAATTAATATTAGCTGGTTCAGTCTCAACTGATCACACAAGAAACATCTCATGATGGGTAAAAGCAAAGAGCTCTCTCAAGACCTTCCCAACCTTATTGTTGCAAAACATACTGATGGCATTTGGTTACAGAAGGATTTATAAACTTCTGAAAGTTCCAGTGAGCACTGTTGGAGCCATAATCCGGAAGTGGAAAGAACATCATTTCACCATAAACAGGCCACGACCAGGTGCTCCTCACAAGATTTCTGACAGAAGTGAAAAGAATGATCAGAAGAGTTGTGCAAGAGTCAAGGACCTCTTGTGGAGAGCTTCAGAATTACCCGGAATTAGCAAGTACAATTGTTTCAAAGAAAACAATAAGTAACGCACTCAGATGCCATGGCCTGTATGCATGCTCACCACGCTAGACTCCATTACAGAAAAAAAAAAAAAAAGCATGTTGAAGCTCGTTTCAAGTTTGCTGCACAACATTTAGACAAGCCTGTGAAATACTGGGAGAATATATTCTGGCGAGAAGAGACCAAAACTGAACTCTTTGGATGCCATAACACACACCATGTTTGGAGGTCAAATGGCACTGCACATCACCCCTAAGGGAAGTTTGGAAGCAGGTACATCATGGTGTGGGGTGGTTTTTCAGCATATGATCCCAAACACAAAGCCAAGGAAACTCAATTGGTCTTAAAGAAAGAAAATAAAGCTGCTAGAATGGCCCATCCAATCACCTGACTTGAATCCAATAGAAAAATCTATGGAAAGAACTGAAGATCAGAGTTCATAGAACAGGCCCACAGAACCTTCACGATTTGAAGACTGTGTGGAACAATGTGGCAAAATCTCTCCTGAGCAATGCGTGCAACTAGTTTCTCCATACAGGAGGCATCTTGAAGCTGTCATTGCCAACCAAGGATTTTGTACAAAGTATTAAATAAATTTCAGTTAGCGTTTTCAATACTTTTTCCCTGTGACATTCCATTTTATTACACAACTTAATTTGTGAACTTATTTGTTTTGGTTTCTTTGTATGTATAGATTGCATGGGTTGTTACTGATATGTGGTGAAAATTTCATGTCAATAGCAGCTTTAAAAATATATTTACCGAGAAAAATTAAACTTATTTTACCCACTGTAAATGGCAAATAAACTAGTGAAAAATAACCCAATAAATCAGTGAAGAAAGCGTGCATGGTGACGTCACTTACGGTGCGCTGCCGAAAGTCGCCATTTTGAGACATCTGTTACAAGCCGTGTATGGGCATTACAGCCCCCTTTTCTTGTAAGGTTTATTTTATGTATTTCTTTTATTACTATTAAAAACTCTTGCACTATGGGAAGCTGTGGTTTTCATCCTATGAGCGATCCTGGCATATATCGTTGAGTGAATCTTTTGGAGGAAAAAAAAAAAAAAAAAAAAAAAAAAAAAAAAAAAAAAAAACAACAACAAAAAACTTACCTGTCATTGTCACTGGATTCTACAGAATTGGTTGGAGTGGTTTTGGATATTCATGTAGCAATGTTTGACCTGTATAGCATATAGGTCAAAAGGAGGTGGTGATCGGGCATGGCATACCTAGTGGTGGATGAGCACCGTGGTGAAAACATTTCTATGAAAAGTCACTTGACTTAACTGAATTGATATGTGCATGCTGTATTTGAAAGTCACAGTATGGACTGAAATTTATATTTGTGATTAATTTTTGGTTTGATGGTCAGCTGAGTGTTACTAGATATTTGTTTATTTTGGATCATCCTATTAGGGATAATATTTTAATCTATATATTCACTTACATTTCATTTTCTACACATCTATTCTTGGGGATATTATTTGTATATGGGCTGGATGGTCAGCCGGGTGTTTGCTGATTATTGTTCATGTTTTTAAGTGAACACATGCTTTGTGCACCTATTTATGGAGTTATTTTTCACTAGGTTATGTGCTATTTATCTGCTTATAGATTATTGGAGGTTGTGACTGAGATCTAACTAGCAGCGCCACACTAAACATTACTTCTGTAGTGTTAACATTTACTTTACAACCTATAAGTTCGGCCAGCACAGTACATAGGGGTGAGTAGACCACAAGATGGAACATTACATGCTAAATTCAGGTGTAACATATTCCAAAGGTGAATTTAGCCTTTAAAAAAAGTAGGCGTTGACCCAATCTGGCTGCAGAAATAGAAATACATATCATATAATCGTGTTCTATATATCCACATCTGGTTAGTGCCCAAAAACAAAAAGTACACAGCTTCCTCATATGGCATATATCTAACATGCCTCAAAACATACCTGAAATGATGGCAGTACAAAGGCTAATTAACACAGATGGTTAGCGGTGCAAATATGCTTTAACATTATAATCCTGGTAGATTTCCACACCCGGGAGCAGACCAACGAAGCGAATGGCTGTATACACCCATATTCAGGTAATTGTGGTACTTTTTAGCATCAGAATTTACACAGGCATGCACACAACACTTTCCCTGAACGCGAAAGTTGTGCATTAGAGGAATACATCAAAGGTGTGTAAACTTGCATGTGCCCAAGTATGGCTGTGAACAGCCAGCCATTCACAACTACGGCTGGCTGTACGCTCCACGGGTGTAGAAAAAAAAAAAAAAAAAAAAAACAATTTTTACACTAGGGCATATTTGTGCCATAAATCATCCAGGTATATAAGCCCTAACTGTGCTTAGATTTAAAACCAACTCAATATCTTCCCCTTCACTCACAGCACAGATATTTTATGTAAATCCCCTTTACTTTCCCCTAAATCTCACATAAATTAACCTCTTCATGGTTCTGTCCTGTGGTCAATGCAAAGTAGTGACAGGTAGGCAACATCAGAACTGGCAATCTTGGCTGATATGCCGACAGGCATGACCACTTAAGCAGTGAAATTCAGATTGAGTGAAGGTGGGCATCATTAAAGAAGAACTATACCCGCTCAGTCAACATTGACCATTTTGAATCCTTATGCTGCTAGCATTAGTAAATATATAGGAAAGGACATCATGTTTACTTGTTTGAAACTTTTTTTTTTTTTTTTTTTTTTTTAACGTTTGTTCAGTTACTTCCTTGTTTCCATGCCTAGGCAAATGTCAGATGTCAGGAGTCTTAAGGAGGTGTTTTCAAAGCTAAGCACATCCTCATGCCTGAACTAAAGGCAGATGGTTTCCTGAGAGTAAATTCTACATGAATCTTCTGCCCTTACTCAAGATGGCCAAAGCCAGATATGCTAGTGGGGTGTTTTTCAAAGTGATTTTTCAGCAAAATAGAGCGTGGAGACATGCATGGATGAGAAAGTTTGCTTTGAATATCAAAAATTAATGAAAATGTGTTTTTGGTTTGTGATGCTAAGATGCAGTGGAATTCCACTTTAAAATTTGACTTAAGGCAGCTTAACGGACTTTCTCCAGGGGTCAGGGGAAATGAGTAATGCAACAAAAGCTGCTTTGTTTTCAGATGGAGATCAGCTTCAACCTAAATATTTCATATTAATACATAATGGATTTTGCCAGAATTCTTAATGGTAATTTCACCTGGTTTTGAAGTTTTAATGCAATTGCTTTTTGCTCTTCTATTCGTCGCCTTCTTTCTCTTGCTCTTGAATCATATAGGCTGGTGCTGCAAATAAAGCAAGCAACATCAGATAGGTACACACACTGTATAGAATATTACATGCATTCTAAACTCAAAAAGGCAAGTGTGTGTGTGTGTGTGTGTAATATATATATATATATATATATATATACACACACACACACATATATACACACACACACACACACACACACACACACACACACACACACACATATATACACACACACACACACACACACACACACACACACGTCATTGGCACCTCTGCATTTGTCAGATAACATACCACTTCACCGAGAAAGTAGTTTAGGAATTCTCTTATTTCTTTTGCTGGTATTGGTATCACAAAAAAAGTGGAGAAAAAAAACAAAAAAAAAAAAACAAAAAAAAAAAAAAAATCAGAATCTGACACATTCCACACAAAACCCCAAAAATGAACTGGGCAAAAAAAAAAAAATTGTCACCTTCTCAAAATTTTAAGAAACAATTGCATTCCAAGTTTGTGATGCTCCTGTAATTTGTAATTAAACTCACCTGTATCAATTAACAATCTTAATGTTTCTGTATCCACTGTGCGCAACATTGTCAAGAAGTTTACAGCCCATGGTACTGTAGCTAATCTCCCTGGACATGGCCAAAAAGAGAAAACTTGAACATTGATTTCAACGAAGGATTGTTCGAATGGTGGATAAGGAACCTCGATCAACTTCCAGACAAATTCAAGCTGACCTTCAGACACAGTGTACAATGGTGTCAGCTCTCATTATACATCGCAATGTGAATGAAAAGAGACGCTATGGTAGGAGGCCCAGGGAGGACCCCACTGCTGACACAAACTTTAAAAAGCCAGATTGGAGTTTAATATTAAAAAAAAAAAAAAAAAAAAAAAAAAAAAAACTTACCTGAGGAAGCCAAAATACTTTTGGGAGAGTATGCTGTGAACAGATGAAACAAAATTACAGCTTTTTGGTAAAGCCCATCATTCTGCTGTTTTCAGAACAGGAAATTAGGCCTTTAGAAGTGAATACAATCCCCACAGTCAAACAGGTTCACTGATGTTTTGGGTTGCTGCTTCAGGCAATGGATGTCTTGATTGTGTGCACAGCATTATGAAATCTGAAGACTACCAAAGAATTCTGGGGTGCAATGTAGGTCCCAGTGTCAGAAAGTTGGGTCTTCATCAGAGGTCATGGGTCTTAAAGCAGGACAATGACCCAAAGCACACATCAAAAAAACACCCAGAAATGGTTTAAAACAAAATCACTGGAGAGTACTGAACTGGTCAGCAATGAGTCCAGATCTCAATCCCATAGAGCACCTGTGAAGAGATCTCAAAACAGCAGTTGAGTAAAGGAACCCTTCCAATCTGAGAGACTGGAGAAGTTAGCAAAAGAAGAATGGCCCAATATTCCAGCAGAAAGGTGTAAGAAACGCATTGACGATTACAGAAAGCGATTGACTTCAGTTATTTTTTCCAAGGGGTGTACTACCAAATATTACATTGAGGGTGCCAATCATTTTGAGCAGTCCATTTTTGGGGTTGGGTGTGGAATGTGTCAGATTTGGCTTTTTGTTTCTCCATTTTTAGTGTCATACCAATATAGAAGCAAAATAAATAAACATTTGTAATTGCAACAATTTTCTGGGTGAAGTGGAGCATTATCTGCCGGAGAGGACGAATAATAATAAAAATAAAAAAAAGTGGGTGTGGTAAAGATACTTACAGTTCTTTAATCCAGAGTTCTGCCTTGAAGAATGGTGTGCTAATAAAAAAAAAAAAAAATATAAAAAGTTTGTTAGACCAAAAAACCCCCCAAAAAACACATTTGTTCATAAAGATAGTCGCATTGTGATCTTATTTTGGTGTTTTGCTTAACCCAATAATGAAAATAATAACATAATTGCGAATTAACTGCTTCCCCGCCACCCTATAGCAGATATACTGCTACAAGGCGGCAGTGGTGTTTTAAATCACGTATATATACACACGTGATTTTATTTTTCCGGGTAGGGGCCGCGGCCGTCAATCACCGAGTCCTGGCAATTACCGAGCATCACCTACAGGGAGGAAGAGTGTTTTGTTTTACAGTCTCTCGCTGTCAGCTCGGGCACACTGCTCTGGATGGCTGTGCACGACACAGAGCAGTGTGCTTACACCCCCCCCCCCCCCTTGTAAAACACTCCCTACACATAGTTAACCCTTTGACCGCCCCTCATAGTAACCCCTTCCTGCCAATGCTATTAGTACAGTGTCAGTGCACTGATCACTGTATTGGTGTCACTGGTGATATCATTGACACCAAGTCAGTTCCCCCCCAGTGTCAGAATGTCTGCTGCAGTCCCACTAAAAGTCGCTGATTGCCGCCATTACTAGTAGAAAAACAAAAATCCCAGTATCTTTCCTGCCATTTGAAAACGCTACAACTTTCATGTAAACCAATTAATTTACACTTATTGGGATTTTTTTTTTTTTTTTTTTTTTTTGGAAAAGACATGTCGCAGAATACATTTTGGGGTAAATTATGATGAAATTTGATTTTTTAAATATTTTTACTGGACATATTTAATAGCAAAAAGGACAAATTTTTTTTTTCTCTCAAAATTGTCACTTTTCTTATAGCGCAAAAAAACAGGCAATCAAATACCACCGGAAAAAAAAAAAAAAAAAAGACGTAAATTTAATTTGGGTGCAGCGTTGTATGACCGCGCAATTGTCAGTTAAAGTAAACCAACGCCGCAACTCAAAAAATGGCCTGGTAAGGAAGGGGGGGGGGTAAATGGTTAAAGTGTCACCCATGAACTTGGTCTAATGCCAAACTATTTAAAGAGAGAAAAGGGAAACATGCATACTGTTATTGCTAACCTCTCTCCAAAAAAAAAAAAAAAAAAAAAAAAAAAAAAATGCCTAGCTTCAACGCATTGAGTAGCTAACCTGAAATAATCATGCAAATTGAGGGGAGAAGAGCCTTGGTACAGGAGGAGACCAAGAACCTGATGGTCACTGACTGAGCTCCAGAGACCCTTTGTGGAGATGGAACAATGTTTTGGTAGGACAACCATCACTGAAGCCCTCCACCAATTTGGGCTTTATGGCAGTGGCATTATCAAATGTGAGGCCTTTTATAGAGAGGAAAGTACCTTTCCAAATCTCATCCAATCATTTTAATTTACCACAGGTGGACTCCAATCAAGGCGTAGTAACATGTCAGCAACAATGAAGAGAAATTGGAGGCACCGGAGCTAAATTTCAAGTGTTGTTGCAAAGGGTCTGAATATGCCTATGTCATATCTCAGTTTTTTATTTTTTAATAAAATTGACAGACCTTTCTAAAATTCTGGTTTCACTTTGTCATTATGGGGTACTGAGTGTAGATTAATGACAAAAAAAAAAAAAAAAAACTAAACAATTGTAGTATCAGGCTGCAACATAAAATTACAAAAGTGAAGGGGGTCTGAATATTTTCTGAATGCACTGTATATTTCACCTAGTACAGGTTTTTTTCATTTTCCTGACACCCCCCCCCCCCCCCCCCCCCCCCAAAAAAAAAAAAAAAAAAAAAAAGGCTGCCACTGCTGGCCACTTGAAAATGCTAGTTGCCTGGCAATTATTTTGACCCTCTGCCTTTAGTGCTTTCCATGGTACTGATCTGCAATAAGATTTCAGTAAGCACAAAAATTGGTTGTAACAGAGGTGAGCGCACACCAACTTCTGCAAGGAAGCACAGCTTTTAAAAACTGATGAGGTCTTTGAAGTCCAAGCAATTTATATTTTATGGGTAGATTGGTGAAGGGTTAGAGCCTATGTTGCCTTTCGTGGTCTTTGTCCCTGTTTGGGAAATATGCTCTCTCATCTGGCAAATACTCTCTACTTCAAGAAAAAAAAAAAAAATGAATAGCTTAAACATTTGGAGATTTCAACAGAACAGGAATACATAGGACACCCATTCCATTAACAACTGACAAAAGGTAGTATATGGCAAAATCCCAGAACTGCCAACAGAAGAATCAAAAAGCTCACTCAAAAACTAGAAAATTACATTTTTACTCCACTGCTTTCCAATCGCCCCTGAGCACTTTGTAGCTCCAAAATGCTGGAAAAAAAAAATTCAATTATTCTCTATGGTGATGGGTTGCATCTTCACTCCAAGGTCACCTACAGCTCAAAAAAAAAAAAAGTTCTGGAGCTTTTTTTGTACCTCAAATTGGACAGATTGGTATGCTTTTGTAGATTTTATTTGAACAGAATGCATTGAAGCGTACATTTTTTAAGCTTTTTGTGCTGGTTAAGAGCCAGTACCCCAACAACCAATGACCCATCCCTGTTAGCAGCAGGGATAAGTCATCAGATATCAAACAACAGTGCCCCCCCCCCAAAATATTATATTAAGCCCTTCAGTCTGTTATAGGTTTCTAAGGAGAACCCCATACCAAAAAACTGGCGTGGGGTCCCCCTTAAAATCTATACTAGACCCTTATCTGAACTTGCAACCCAGTAGGCCAGGAACGCATGGGTTGGGGGTCCCGCATTTTTTTTTTGGCACGGGGTCCCCTTCAGAATCGGGGAGGGGCAACACTTTTTTTTTTTTTTTTTTTTTTTTTTTTTTAAAAAAGCTGGCTCGTTTACATTCTGCTGTCAGTAGGGAATCCCTACAGCAGGGATAACTCGTTGTTAAGGAGCCGGCGTGTGCCACTGTCCTAACAACCAAAGACTCTGGTTAGGAAGCCAGAGGGTGCCGCCTCCTTAAACATCAAAGCTCAAAGATGCTCTAGAAACACAAGCAAAACCGCTCAAAAAACACATAAAAATTTGCGACAATACTACTCTCAGGTGTGAATGCAGTCTTAACAAGAACATCTGTGAGTTTGACACAATATCAAGTGCTATTGTAACTGAAGTATGCTCCTAATTTAGCTTTTTATGCTTTCAGATTTCATTCAGAATGTGTTACCTGGGATGATCATCATGTTTGGAAATTGAATCAATTACAATGACAGAGTCTGTATTTGGGCCTAAAAAGAGAAAAGAAGAGAAAAGTAATATTGGCACATAACAGTTAAAAATGTTTGACTTTATTTTTCCCCTATTGAACTTTCTCACACTCATGAATGCAGAACTACTTGTCTCGCTTTATAAGTACAGCCTGGAATGTATTTGTTTGCAGACTGCCTTTTCTACAGGTAACTCTGCTGTAATTATATTGTTAAAAGGAGAAGTTCTTCATCACCAGTTTGCCAAAAAAAAAAAAAAAAAAGCAGTAAAAGTATTTTTCTGACCTTTACACTGCTCCTGGCTGGGATGACTCTGTTGACTATGTAGCTGATGCCTACTCAAGTCTCTCTTTTCACAGGTAGGTTTGAAATGCGTAGCATCATTTAACAGGGGTGTGCATTTCTGATCTGATGAAGTTATACCAAAGGAAGGCTGGCGTAAAGTTTCCACGTCCAAAGCAGAAGGCTCTAAAGAGCTCAGACTAGAAGTGATAGGTGCAGCAGAAACACTGCTAGAACTTAAGCATCGGGATCTGTAAACACAAAACAAACATACTCTTCAGTGCCATTTCCATAGAGGCATGGTCTCTTCAACTGAGAAATACAAGCAAAGCTAATACTCACACACAGTTACTTACACTTGGAAAGGACGAAAAGACACAGGCTTTGTAGGGAAAAAACTTCTTCCTGTTACTGCTTGCAGTAACTGTCTATAGAGTTCTCTCTCATCTTCCCGTACGGTCTGAATAAGTTAAAGAGAAAGAGTAATTAAATCCAAAAGGCAGCAGAGGAATACAACATTGCAGCATGCCCACTTTATATTGCCTTGAGGAAGGAGCCCTGAGTAACATTGCATTTTAAAACTTGCATAACTCTTAAATAAAATTTTTAAGTGGATATCAAGTCAAAAACTTTAAAATTTTTGACAGTGTGGAAGGATCAGGTCACAATAGTTTCATCAGACAGGAAGTTAAAATCGGTTTCATGGATAGAAAACAGAAAAATCTGAAACCCTACACTAGCTGAAACCCTGCTCACTTCCTGTCTGGTTAAACATCAGTAGAACAAAAAGTGAGGATAAATTTCTATAATGGAGTTCCAGGAACCTCTGAGAGCGAGCGGGAGCGAGAAAAGCCTGCGAACGAAAAAAAGAGGGCGAGAAAGCACGCGAGCGAAAAAAGAGGGCGAGAAAGCACGCGAGCGAAAAAAGAGGGCGAGAAAGCGCGAGCGAAAAAAAGCGAGCGAGGGTGAGAAAAAGAGCGAGGGCGAGAGAGACCAAAAAATAAAAAAAAAAAAAGTTTGTGCTGGCCATACAGCTTGATTCGTGAAAAGTGATACCAATACTAATAGGCTATAATTGTTACTACATGATACTCAAAAGATTAAATATTCTTTGTACAATAAACTCAAAACACAGCCACCGCAAGCCTAAAATACCATTCATTACACACACCGTGACACCCAAGGAGGGACATCAGGCATGAGTTGACCACTTGCCCTTCCTGACCAGGCTATTTTTTGCGATACGGCGCTGCGCCACAATCCAAATCCTGTAACTTTTGGAGAAGAGGACTGGAAACGGCAACTGGTTCCTCCTCCATTAATAATGAGTAGGGGCGATGGGGGACAATCTACTTGTGACCAAGGTGGTCCAAGCTGGCAAGTTTTACAGAAAGCCGAGAATTTCTCTCTCATCACATATGAAAAGTAGGAAGGTACCCCAAAAGTAGCAGAGATACCAGATAGGTTAAAGGAGTCAGACCAAATGTGGATTATATTGACTGCCCCCATTCACCACAGGAAAAGATTGTGTGGTCCTTTAATATATGCTACACCCTGCAGTCCCACAAGGTGGGCACTGCTGCACCCTGCAGTCCCACCAGCAATCATGCTTGCTGTCACCTTTAGTCCCATAAGGCACTACTAGTAATGCAACCTGTAGGCCCACTGAATCACCAGAGAAGAGTACCAGCAGGGCCTACTCTAGGGCTCTTACCAGTCTGCCAAAGAACCCCTAGGAGGTTCACAGATTCGACTTCTTGGTTATGGATCATTGCCCTGGACCTGTATGGCAGTGAATCCAGAAAATCTTCTAATCCCAGTTGGAACCATTGAGAAACTAGCTATTTTGACATACAGAAGACTGCACAGACATGACCACCATTTAAATGGGCAACAAAAAAACTTCTAGCCTAGCTAGAAGGCATTATGTCTAAGAGTTTCCTGTCTTTTTTTTGCCGGTGTCCAACCGCCTGAAGGTGGCAGCATAATCCTATCGTCTAAATACATGATAAACAACCCATGGTCATTATTATAACCTTTTTGAAATTACATAAACAAATTCAAATAAATGAATATAATAATAAAATTCAAATTGAAATCACAAAAAAAAGTCCAATGCAAAGTGTCCCAAAAAATGTCCCACTACAAACAAAAGTGTCCAAAAATTGTCCAAATATCCAAATTTGTTCATCCAGTAGGAAGAAATTCCCTTTCATCCCGTAGTACCTCAAAAAAAAAAAACAAATTCAAAAATCTAGTGCATTACCTTTATAAATAATATAATCACTCCGTGCAAAACAAAACACAAAAAACACAAAAATGTGCAATAGCTATATATGTATCTCTTCCGTGCACATATGAGTAAACTGTGACCACTCTGTGAACACTGCAACACTGTGTATCCACCAACACCAATAGTATTAAATACTATTACCCTCTGTATCCATATACCAGCATCCAAATGAGATCTTCCAAAATGCTCCAAAGAAATTATTCCAAGGTCCTCAAAAGACAAGAAGGGTCTCAAGGCTCATATTCAAGGTGTAATAAAACAATTTAATAGCAACTTACATTAAAATTTCATTATTCCGGCTTCCAACATGCTTCCTGTGTGAGTTCTATCAAGCAAATGCAATATACCATGTGTTGACAACCCACAAAATGGCCGCGGCGACACTTCCGGTCTGCGTGCGTGCGTTACGACGTCACACCCTTAACGCGTTTCGTCACTTCCGGACTTCGTCTGAAGGTCCGGAAGTGACGAAACGCGTTAAGGGTGTGACGTCGTAACGCACGCACGCAGACCGGAAGTGTCGCCGCGGCCATTTTGTGGGTTGTCAACACATGGTATATTGCATTTGCTTGATAGAACTCACACTGGAAGCATGTTGGAAGCCGGAATAATGAAATTTTAATGTAAGTTGCTATTAAATTGTTTTATTACACCTTGAATATGAGCCTTGAGACCCTTCTTGTCTTTTGAGGACCTTGGAATAATTTCTTTGGAGCATTTTGGAAGATCTCATTTGGATGCTGGTATATGGATACAGAGGGTAATAGTATTTAATACTATTGGTGTTGGTGGATACACAGTGTTGCAGTGTTCACAGAGTGGTCACAGTTTACTCATATGTGCACGGAAGAGATACATATATAGCTATTGCACATTTTTGTGTTTTTTGTGTTTTGTTTTGCACGGAGTGATTATATTATTTATAAAGGTAATGCACTAGATTTTTGAATTTGTTTTTTTTGAGGTACTACGGGATGAAAGGGAATTTCTTCCTACTGGATGAACAAATTTGGATATTTGGACGATTTTTGGACACTATTTTTTGTTTGTAGTGGGACATTTTTTGGGACACTTTGCATTGGACTTTTTTTTTGTGATTTCAATTTGAATTTTATTATTATATTCATTTATTTGAATTTGTTTATGTAATTTCAAAAAGGTTATAATACTGTATTGCTTTCTGGGGAGAAAGTGTGACTTTTTGAGGGGTTTTGGGGATAGGTGGTTATACACATACTTAACCCATGGTCATAATACAGGATTACACAAAACAGAGGTTGCTATGCACACAAGACTAGAAACTTACTAGAAACTAGAAACTTACTTCTTCTACTGTACTAAGTTGTCGTCTTTGCATCTTCTTTGGGCTCCGACGACTAGCTGCATTCCACGGGTTTGAACATGTAGCATTCTTAATAGGAAAGGACTTCTCAAAAGCTGAGCCAAAAGGGTGATTTGTGTTTCCAGCAACTGAATTTGTGGCTCCACTGCACAACAAAAAATAAATAAAATCGGTTTACAAATTGTATACTTACACCCTGGGTGGCAGCAGATAAATTAATGCATAGGCACATATTTCTAAAGCAGTGAATATGATAGTAAACAATTACAACTTTGACATGTGTTCGTAAAATCCCTCATGAACATGCAAATCAGTGCATAAATTTGTTAGACATGCATTTCTTTTGAATTTTTTGTTGCTATCCTGTCTCTCAGTGTTGCAATACACATACCATTCGATTTTTAGGCTGATCATTTCTTTGTGAGTGGGCAAACATTCAAAATATATTTTATATATATATATATATAAAAATATATATAAAACACATTTTTTTTACTATTTTGGGCCACGGGGTTTCGTTTGAATATGCAAAAAATAAATAATCAGGAGTTATCCATTACCATTTACGACCAAACCAAAGGCCAATTTGTCCTGAAAAAAAACCTAGATTCACAAAAAGTAGTTGTGATAAGTGGTTAAGTCACAGTCGCAAAATTGTGCTTAGCCATTAACATTTGTTTTACTCTTAGGCAGGAAGGGGCTTACTAACACAAAATACCGTACAGTCGCAAAAATACTGCTTAGCATTCCCTGAAATGATTACTCAGGCAGATGGGGCTAAATACCATCAATGCGTTATAAGACTACTCTTAGGCAAGGACTGGGCTAAAATAACAGAAATGATGACCCCCACATCAATTTGTTAAAATATAGGGTTTGGAGCTATACTCCCGCCGTATAAGACTACCCCCCTTCCAACGCACACCAAATAAAAAAATGAAAAAAAAACATGGGCGTTGATTTCAATAATGGTACCCAGTACTTTTCCAATGATGGGGTGCTATTCCTCCCATGACACCAATGATGGGGTGCTATATCCCACTGACACCAAATGATGGGGTGCCGTCCACTGACACCCCCCTCATGATGGGGGGCAGGAATCACCCTGACACCAATGATGGGGTGCTAAAAACCTCCAGATTGACACCAATTGGCGTGGGGCGCCCCATCATTTCAGTATGGGAGGAATATTCCCCCAATGATGGGGAGGAGGGAGGAATATTCCCCATCCCACTGGCGTCAATGTGGGGGGGGGAGGAATTAGCCCCCATCTTGGCGTCAGTGGGGGGGGGAGGAATAGCGCCCCAGCGCAACCATTGATGGGGGGGGGAGGAATAGCCCCCATTGGCGTCAGTGGGGGGGGGGAGGAATAGCGCCCATCATTGGCGTCAGTGGGGGGGGAGGAATAGCGCCCCATCATTGTCAGGGTGGGGGGGGGAGGAATAGGAATAGCGCCCCATCATTGGCGTCAGTGGGGGGGGGGAGGAATAGCGCCCCATCATTGGCGTCAGTGGGGGGGGGGAGGAATAGCGCCCCATCATTGGCGTCAGGGGGGGGGGGGGGAGGAATAGCGCCCCATCATTGGTCAGTCAGTGGGGGGGGGAGGAATAGCGCCCCATCATTGGCGTCAGTGGGGGGGGGGGGGGGGGAGGAAATAGCGCCCCATCATTGGCGTCAGTGGGGGGGGGGAGGAATAGCGCCCCATCATTGGCGTCAGTGGGGGGGGGAGGAATAGCGCCCCATCATTGGCGTCAGTGGGGGGGGGGGGAAATAGCGCCCCATCATTGGCGTCAGTGGGGGGGGAGGAATAGCGCCCCAATAGCGCCCCATCATTGGCGTCAGTGGGGGGGGGAGGAATAGCGCCCCATCATTGGCGTCAGTGGGGGGGGGAGGAATAGCGCCCCATCATTGGGTCAGGGGGGGGGTGGGAATAGCGCCCCATCATTGGCGTCAGTGGGGGGGGGGGAATAGCGCCCCATCATTGGCGTCAGTGGGGGGGGGAGGAATAGCGCCCCATCATTGGCGTCAGTGGGGGGGGGGAGGAATAGCGCCCCATCATTGGCGTCAGTGGGGGGGGGAGGAATAGCGCCCCATCATTGGCGTCAGTGGGGGGGGGAGGAATAGCGCCCCATCATTGGCGTCATGGGGGGGGAGGAATAGCGCCCCATCATGGCGTCAGTGGGGGGGGGAGGAATAGCGCCCCATCATTGGCGTCAGTGGGGGGGGCCCCATCATTGGGCGTCAGGAATAGCGCCCATCATTGGCGTCAGGGGGGGGGGGGGGGGGGGGAATAGCGCCCCATCATTGGCGTCAGTGGGGGGGGGCGCCCCATCATTGGGCGTCAGTGGGGGGGAGGAATAGCGCCCCATCATTGGCGTCAGTGGGGGGGGGAGGAATAGCGCCCCATCATTGGCGTCAGTGGGGGGGGGAGGAATAGCGCCCCATCATTGGCGTCAGTGGGGGGGGGAGGAATAGCGCCCCATCATTGGCGTCAGTGGGGGGGGGAGGAATAGCGCCCCATCATTGGCGTCAGTGGGGGGGGGGGAATAGCGCCCCATCATTGGCGTCAGTGGGGGGGGGAGGAATAGCGCCCCATCATTGGCGTCAGTGGGGGGGGGAGGAATAGCGCCCCATCATTGGCGTCAGTGGGGGGGGGAGGAATAGCGCCCCATATTGGCGTCAGTGGGGGGGGAGGAATAGCGCCCCATCATTGGCGTCAGTGGGGGGGGGAGGAATAGCGCCCCCATCATTGGCGTCAGTGGGGGGGGGTGGGGGGGGAGGAATAGCGCCCCATCATTGGCGTCAGTGGGGGGGGGAGGAATAGCGCCCCATCATTGGCGTCAGTGGGGGGGGGGAGGAATAGCGCCCCATCATTGGCGTCAGTGGGGGGGGGGAGGAATAGCGGAATAGCGCGTCCCCATCATTGGCGTCAGTGGGGGGGGGAGGAATAGCGCCCCATCATTGGCGTCAGTGGGGGGGGGAGGAATAGCGCCCCATCATTGGCGTCAGTGGGGGGGGAGGAATAGCGCCCCCATCATTGGCGTCAGTGGGGGGGGGAGGAATAGCGCCCCATCATTGGCGTCAGTGGGGGGGGGAGGAATAGCGCCCCATCATTGGCGTCAGTGGGGGGGGGAGGAATAGCGCCCCATCATCATTGGCGTCAGTGGGGGGGGGGAATAGCGCCCCATCATTGGCGTCAGTGGGGGGGGAGGAGGAATAGCGCCCCATCATTGGCGTCAGTGGGGGGGGGAGGAATAGCGCCCCATCATTGGCGTCAGTGGGGGGGGGAGGAATAGCGCCCCATCATTGGGCGTCAGTGGGGGGGGGGGAGGAATAGCGCCCCATCATTGGCGTCAGTGGGGGGGGGGGGAATAGCGCCCCATCATTGGCGTCAGTGGGGGGGGGGGAATAGCGCCCCATCATTGGCGTCAGTGGGGGGGGGAGGAATAGCGCCCCATCATTGGCGTCAGTGGGGGGGGGAGGAATAGCGCCCCATCATTGGCGTCAGTGGGGGGGGAGGAATAGGAATAGCGCCCCATCATTGGCGTCAGTGGGGGGGGGAGGAATAGCGCCCCATCATTGGCGTCAGTGGGGGGGGGAGGAATAGCGCCCCATCATTGGCGTCAGTGGGGGGGGGAGGAATAGCGCCCCATCATTGGCGTCAGTGGGGGGGGGAGGAATAGCGCCCCATCATTGGCGTCAGTGGGGGGGGGAGGAATAGCGCCCCATCATTGGCGTCAGTGGGGGGGGGGGCGCCCCAGGAATAGCGCCCCATCATTGGCGTCAGTGGGGGGGGGGAGGAATAGCGCCCCATCATTGGCGTCAGTGGGGGGGGGGGGGAAATAGCGCCCCATCATTGGCGTCAGTGGGGGGGGGAGGAATAGCGCCCCATCATTGGCGTCAGTGGGGGGAGGGGGGGGGGGGGAGGAATAGCGCCCCATCATTGGCGTCAGTGGGGGGGGGAGGAATAGCGCCCCATCATTGGCGTCAGTGGGGGGGGGAATAGCGCCCCATCATTGGCGTCAGTGGGGGGGGGGGAGGAATAGCGCCCCATCATTGGCGTCAGTGGGGGGGGGGAAAATAGCGCCCCATCATTGGCGTCAGTGGGGGGGGGAGGAATAGCGCCCCATCATTGGCGTCAGTGGGGGGGGGGAGGAATAGCGCCCCATCATTGGCGTCAGTGGGGGGGGGAGGGAATAGCGCCCCATCATTGGCGTCAGTGGGGGGGGGAGGAATAGCGCCCCATCATTGGCGTCAGTGGGGGGGGGGAATAGCGCCCCATCATTGGCGTCAGTGGGGGGGGGAGGAATAGCGCCCCATCATTGGCGTCAGTGGGGGGGGGGGAGGAATAGCGCCCCATCATTGGCGTCAGTGGGGGGGGGGGAGGAATAGCGCCCCATCATGGGCGTCAGTGGGGGGGGGAGGAATAGCGCCCCATCATTGGCGTCAGTGGGGGGGGGGAGGAATAGCGCCCCATCATTGGCGTCAGTGGGGGGGGGGGAGGAATAGCGCCCCATCATTGGCGTCAGTGGGGGGGGGAGGAATAGCGCCCCATCATTGGCGTCAGTGGGGGGGGAGGAATAGCGCCCCATCATTGGGCGTCAGTGGGGGGGGGGAGGAATAGCGCCCCATCATTGGCGTCAGTGGGGGGGGGAGGAATAGCGCCCCATCATTGGCGTCAGTGGGGGGGGGGGAATAGCGCCCCATCATTGGCGTCAGTGGGGGGGGGGAATAGCGCCCCATCATTGGCGTCAGTGGGGGGGGGCCCCATCATTGGCGTCAGTGGGGGGGGGGAATAGCGCCCCCCATCATTGGCGTCAGTGGGGGGGGGGCGGAATAGCGCCCCATCATTGGCGTCAGTGGGGGGGGGAATAGCGCCCCCCATCATCATTGGCGTCAGTGGGGGGGGGGGGAATAGCGCCCCATCATTGGCGTCAGTGGGGGGGGGGAGGAATAGCGCCCCATCATTGGCGTCAGTGGGGGGGGGGAGGAATAGCGCCCCCATCATTGGCGTCAGTGGGGGGGGGAGGAATAGCGCCCCATCATTGGCGTCAGTGGGGGGGGGAGGAATAGCGCCCCATCATTGGCGTCAGTGGGGGGGGGAGGAATAGCGCCCCATCATTGGCGTCAGTGGGGGGGGAGGAA